CTTCTTACCTCCAGTGTTTCTGATCCCAGTGTTCCTCATTATTCTCCCTTATTACTCCTGAGGATCTCCAGTCCTTCATCCATCTCCATCGTTCACTCAGTGTCTCCCCTGGACTGAGGATCGTGAGCTTCCCTACAGCCTGGATTCAGCCGATCACGATCTCACAACCATCCTGCAAAGATAAGACACTGATCAGATGATCTGATAAAAGCGTTTAACTGCTGGAAGTCATATTCACTGAGCTGTTAGTTTGTCCTCGCTGCATTTCAATAAATGGTTAAACGTCATCTGTGCTTCTCTTCTCTGAGTTACCGTTACAATATAATATAATATACCAAATCATCTTCATCCTCGTCATTTTCATCGTTTTACTGAACATGTGTCATAATCAAGCTTGTCGTTCATTATAGAGTTCAGAAAGATCAGATTCATCTTCTTGAATCCAGTATTTGGTGTTTTATTGTAATTATCATTAATGTGGCCGTTTGACATTTGACTATGTTTACAGCTGGCCTTCACAAATAAAAATATAATACAAATATAAATGTATTCTTTTGTCAAAATGTCAAAAACTAAAGAAGTAATCATAGATTTTAGGAAGCATAGTGATGAACCAAAACCAAGTGTAGTACATAATGAAAATGTTCCAACAGTTCAAACATATAATTACTCACAAATGAAATTCAGTGAGAACAGTAATAGCATTATTAAGTGAGCAAACCAAAGAATATACTTACTGAGGAAGCTTAACTCTTTTGGGGTCTGTAAAAGAATTTTATGTACATTCTAAGGATGTCCCGATTCGATCATCGGACTCGATCGGAATCGGACGTTACATCCCGATCAGGACTCGGATATGTAAATTAGGGGTGTAACGGTACATGTATTCGTAATTATTGAACCGTTTCGGTACGAGGCTTCCGGTTCTGTACGAGGCTTCCGGTTCTGTACGAGGCTTCCGGTTCTGTACGAGGCTTCCGGTTCGGTACGAGGCTTCCGGTTCTGTACGAGGCTTCCAGTTCTGTACGAGGCTTCCGGTTCGGTACGAGGCTTCCGGTTCGGTACGAGGCTTCCGGTTCGGTACGAGGCTTCCGGTTCTGTACGAGGCTTCCGGTTCTGTACGAGGCTTCCGATTCGGTACGAGGCTTCCGGTTCGGTACGAGGCTTCCGGTTCGGTACGAGGCTTCCGATTCGGTACAAGGCTTCCGATTCTGTACGAGGCTTCCGGTTCTGTACGAGGCTTCCGGTTCTGTACGAGGCTTCCGGTTCGGTACGAGGCTTCCGGTTCTGTACGAGGCTTCCGGTTCGGTACGAGGCTTCCGATTCGGTACGAGGCTTCCGGTTCGGTACGAGGCTTCCGATTCTGTACGAGGCTTCCGGTTCTGTACGAGGCTTCCGGTTCTGTACGAGGCTTCCGGTTCTGTACGAGGCTTCCGGTTCGGTACGAGGCTTCCGATTCGGTACGAGGCTTCCGGTTCGGTACGAGGCTTCCGGTTCGGTACGAGGCTTCCGATTCGGTACGAGGCTTCCTATTCTGTACGAGGCTTCCGGTTCTGTACGAGGCTTCCGGTTCTGTACGAGGCTTCCGGTTCGGTACGAGGCTTCCGGTTCGGTACGAGGCTTCCGATTCGGTACGAGGCTTCCGATTCGGTACGAGGCTTCCTATTCTGTACGAGGCTTCCGGTTCTGTACGAGGCTTCCGGTTCTGTACGAGGCTTCCGGTTCGGTACGAGGCTTCCGGTTCGGTACGAGGCTTCCGATTCTGTACAAGGCTTCCGGTTCTGTACGAGGCTTCCGGTTCTGTACGAGGCTTCCGGTTCTGTACGAGGCTTCCGGTTTGGTACGCACACAAACCGAACGATTCCTAGGACCATTTTTCCTGCAGACAAAATCCACGCTGGCGCGATCACCACAACGTTGCGCAACATCAAATGCCAAACGTAATGAAAGCGGAACGAAACTGCGCTTCTCATTATATTGTGCTTAACGGACCATTTATCAGTTTGGACCAGCAACATCGGTGCAGCGCGAGATCAAGCGACACTGTGCTAAGAGATCCAGTGAAGAAAACATTTTAATTCGCCACTGAAGTAATAACATTGCTGCGAGATCTAGTGAGAAGCATTCACATTTCTCCGTTATTAACCGTAGATCTCTATTAGATCAAACAGCGCTGACGTGGGAACCAGGAGAAACACTGTGCCGTGAATGAACATGGATTTAATGTTGCACTTCAAAACTCAAATATTACATAAATATATATTTAAATGTTATTTTTAATGTGATTGCCAAAACATTATTTGTTCATCCTTCAAAGATTACCCCCATTTATAAACCTGAAAGTTTCAAGATGTAGGAAAACTCACACTTATTTAAAAATAGTTTTTCTTTTAATAAATAGGAAATTTCTCTGGCATTTTTTTCTTTTTGCTGTATCGTATCGAACCGAACCGCAAATTTTGTGAACTGTTGCACCCCTAATGTATATATATATATTCTCATTATAAAAAAATAAAAAAAACTTTTATTTTTTGTTTACATGCCTGTATTTTAAGTTGAGGTGCTATTTGTTTTTATATTAGACTTTTCCTATATTTACTGTTGCACTAAAGTCCAAAAGTGAAGATTTTATGTTATTTATTACTTGATTGTTCAAGCTACCTCACAGAATGTCATGTGGTTGAAGAGCGAACCCAAACATAGACGATATGCAGACTAACAGGGATTTATTGAGGCACAAAACAGAAAACAAAAACCCACGAGGGGGCAAAACAGGACAGATGGGGCAGTACAACTAGACTAAGACAGGAAATAAACTAGGACTAGATACTGACTGATAAAGACAAGATGAAGAAAACAAACAGCTAGATAAACTCACAATTCTTAAAACAATATACAGACTAAGTACTCACAGGACTCTCACAAAGAGTAACACGCACAGGTTGACAATGTACCGACACAGGACAGCAAACACAAGGGGATAAAATAGGGAGACACTAATGACAAAGATAGGTGAAGCTGACTAGACAATAATGACGAGACGTGGATAACAAGGGGGCGGGGTAACGTAACGGAGACAACACAAGCACATGGCCCAAGCAATTGGCCATGCGCTTGTACACAAAACACGGGTCTGTCATGATCAAGCCTCAAGACCAGAGGAAATCAAGGACAAGAAGGCCGGATCATGACACAGAAGTGCTCTGTTTGTTAACAGTTGTTGAACAGTTGGTGAATTAAATAAAAAATAAGGAACATCCTGGATCTGTTTTTTTTTTTCGCTCATCTTTATTCTTTTTTATGTATTAGATACTCAAAATCAAATGACTCGGACTCGGACTCGAGGGCAATAAAACCTGATCAGGACATCCCTAGTACATTCTATCAGGCCTTCATTGAGAGCCTATTAACTTTTTCTTTCCTGTGTTGGTTTAATGGACTAGCTGTGAAAGATAAAAAAAAGTTTGAGCGACATTGTTATGCTCAAAAATCACTGGTACCCAATTAAATGATCTCTGTTCTCTCTGGAAAACACGTGCTGTCCAAAAGGCAGACAGAGTAATGTGCCAACCAGATCATGTACTCAGTCTAGAATTTGTTATTATGCAGTCAGGTCGGCGGTATTATGTGCCAATACGGAAAACTAACCGCTATGCTAACGCATTTATTCCTTCTAAGACTGCTAGACGAAAATACATAACTACATGGTACTGGCTCTTGCTTTCCACTGCTCTGTTTAGTTAGTGGCAGGTGTGTGTGTGTGTGTGTGTGTGTGTGATACTAGTATGTGTGGATGTGAGTCTTTATTTCTTCTTTTCTCTTTTATACATTGTGTGTTAATGCATTTAACTATTATGGATGGGTTGGCTGTAAAACTGAATTGCCCCATAGGGACTAATAAAGGAATCTGAATCTGAATCTGAATATCCTGATATATCATTGGAAGCAACATATAAATGGCACAGATTAGTTTGAGCTCCCAAAAGCAACTGCTATTGAGATGCTTATGTCACGGCCGACTCTCAAGCCGCGACAAAGAAGGAGACAACACGATGGATAATGATCAAAAGGAATAACATCTATTAAAGTAAGAATAATCAAATGGGGGAAAAAGACGAGACGAAAATGTCACTCACCCTAAACTCCATCCTGCAAACCAAACAAAGGAAACACAGACAACCCACACTAGGTTCATAACACTTAAGAATAGCTTTATCATTATAATATTAGGAGGCCTTTAGCTTCAGTTAAACATGAGAAGTCTTCGGCTCACACTTGCCAAACAGGAAGTGAAACTACAGCCACAGGAAGAGCTTTGAGGCTTCAGCTAAACACACTACATTTCCCACAATGCAACTCTTCTCAGAGCTCATATGATGGAGAAACAGTGATCTTAATGTTCAAGAAATTGTCTGTATTATTTATAGTTTCTGTAAACGACAGTGTTTTCCCATGCTGTCGATTACCACAGAAAATAACCCTAACAAGCTTTTCTTCTTCATCTTATGTCTTTTTCATTCAGAGTTTGGCAAAGATTGTTTCCTTAAAATGTTAAAGTGGATGATGCTTAACATGTAATTAACATGTTTTGAAAATATATTAAAAAATTTAGAAGTAGAAAAAGAGCAGAAGAGCAACAGAAAGCTCTTAAACATGTTAAAGGAGGACAGGAAAGGTTGTGGTTGATGAATTCACAGTTTATTAGCAGTTCAAAACTGAGAGGCGTTTTCACGCCTAACGCCGCATGTGAAACACAGAGATCACAGATTCTCATCACATGAGATGAGCAACAAGCGTATTATTTTCCTCTCCACCGACAGATGAGAGCAGTATTATTGCTGTTTGAGTTTCAGAGAGTCGTGTGAGGAACTACCGAGAGTTTCAGACTGATTTTCTGAACTGAACTGATGAAGAAATGAAGTTTCCACTGATAGTTTGTGTGTTTCTGCTGACGGGTAAGAGCTGAAGATCTCTACTAAAAGTGTTTATTATCTAATATTATGGCGTATGTTATCAGTGTGAGTAAAGCAGTGTGTGTGTGTGTGTGTGTGTGTGTGTGTGTGTGCGTGTGTGTGTGTGTGTGCGTGTGTGTGTGTGTGTGTGTGTGTGTGTGTGTGTGTGTGTGTGTGTGTGTGTAGTGAGCAGTTCACTGTCTGTGGAGATTACAGTGAGAGGAACAGAGAGAGAACGAGTGAGCATTACCTGCCCTTATCTAGAAGGATATGAAAACTCCTACAAATACTTCTACAGAGGACTTTACGCAGACCGTGTGATTATACTGCGATCTGATGGAGAGTCCTCAGTGTTCAGTGGCAGATTCTCACTGAAGGATAATCCTCAGACCAGATCATTTACAGTGACCATCAGTGACCTGAAGATGGACGATGCTGGACCGTACGGCTGTGGAGCTGGATGGGGACCCCGCCTAGACATCCAGCTAAATGTGATCAGAGGTGCCTGATATTCAATACTTAAATCTGTAGTCCGTAACTTTTGGCGCTCTAGAGGTTAATAAACCGAATGAAAGCTTTAGCGTAAGTTCTCCCAGGAAGACTCAATTGTTACGTCACTTATTCCCTTCTCATCCGTCCAATCGTGTTCTAGTACTTGCCGTTTAAAAGATCGGTACTTACACATCTGTGAGTTCGCAGATGCTGACGCTTTCATTTTTTCAATCAATTTTTCGTCCCACCTCAACTAGATTTTTGGAGCAAGCACTAATATATCCTTTTGGATTTGGTCTTTATTTCGTTCTTTTTTTTATGTCACTCTTTTGATGTCTTATTGTATGCCTGATTTTGTATTGCTGTAAAAATACTGATATCAACAGCACTAATGAACAGCTAAATGCACCGCTGACAAACAAATCTTATGATAGCCTACTTTTGAGAAAAATGAACAACAAGCACACGCATAACAAAATCTTTTAATTAAAAGGCAACACAATGAGGGTTAAAGGACAAATGAGGAATCGTCACTCAAAAGCACCACAGCTGCACAAAAGATAGAGGAAACAGTGGTAAACTGGTATAGAAAACAATAAATTAGGAGACATCTATGCATTTCCATCTATTAGGTGCCATTTTACCCATGCATTTACATTTTAATAATGACAAGTGATCACTCCAGGGCGATCTTATACTCATGGTTATCTCTGGAAAATATTATTACCGTTGTCTCTATACGAGCTGACATCTAGCTGACAACATGTCGTTTTGAGTTTGACATATCGTGTGGTTCTGTGTGATTTGGACAAATTCAAGTTACACCCACTTCCTGTTACACCACTTCCTGTTACGCCACTTCCTGTTACGCCACTTCCTGTTACGCCACTTCCTGTTACGCCCCTCTCTTGCAGTCCACAGACAGACCCATCTGAGGATGGTCCCTTCCCGTACCTCACGGGGGGTCGGTTGCGCCCCTGCCTTCGTCTTCAGGCAGGAAATGTAGAGTCCGGACCCTCGGATGCTGGTCTGTTATAAATGTATACTTGTTACGGTATTTTGGCCCCCGAGTCTTTCTGGTAGAACCGCTGAGTCTGAGCCGGAGCTCCTTCTCTCTGGCGAGTCACACAGGCACTGGATTACTGGATTACTCCTCAGCGGTGCGACCGGTCTAAAGTAGTCCCAATATAAACACTTATTATAGGTATTATACCGTAGAGAATCAGGAGAAGACAGAACACGGTTTGGAAGATTGATTCATGACGTTCTCGCTCATTTTATAAATATAGTAAATTTTGAACACAAAAAAAGTTACGGACTCGGACTGCAGCTTTAACACCAATCTGAATCATCACTCCTGTGTTATTGATTTATGAATGTATTACGGCTTGACGGCTCTTCTTCATTTCTCAGCTCCAGTGAAAACAACACGTGTCCAGATCTCAACAACCAGCATTAGTCCATATACAAACAGCAGCACTGAACACACCAGCACAGGTACACACACACACACACACACACACACACACACACACACACACACACACACACAGACAGACACTGACATCTGTACTCACATGTGTTTTGATGAAAATAAAGTTAATGTGAAGTTATTGTGTTTATAGAACTTGACATAACTTCAATCAAAACATTAATAGTTAGTCTGATTATACTGAATACAAAAATATAAAGCTTCTAAACACAATTTTAATGCTGCATTTATGATCATGATTTAGTTCAAGATCATTCATTTCTTCCACAAACTTGCACAAAGTTGGAAGCTTCAACTTCTGTGAAAAATAAACCATAATTGCATCACACTGAACATTTAGAGGTTGTGATGTTCCTCAACACTTGAATCAAATGTACAACAACTGAATGTTTGACGTGTCATTTTACTGTAAATTTTCATTTGCACTTTCTTTGTTCTGCAGTTTCTGAGTAAAATCATCTCGTAATACTGACAGTAATGCCATCACAACATGAGTTCAGCTTTATGTGTGTTTGACAGAAACTTTTATCCAAAGTGACTCTGTATCAGTTCAGATAATAAAGTGTCTTCTAAATGAACATTAATATAATGTGATTATCAGTAATCAGTATTATGAACAGAAAACACAACATGTGTTCATATGCAGCAATAGCAAACAGTGCTATAAGTGTGTTTGTCTATTATTATTATTGTGTGTTATTATATCACTGCATGAGCGACACATTCACAGTCACTGGTGTTTCTCTCTGTCAGCGACTCATCACACAGAAACTGAAACAACAACAGGAAATACTTCAGTTCAACTCCATCAGCCTAACACTAGTAAGAACACAAACTACACTACCCACAATGCAACTCTCTGATCACATGATCACTCTTTGAAAGGACATTGGTTTGATTATTTGTGGAGACACATTTTAGCTCCTGTATGAATATAAATGATGAATTTGAATGATTTCATGTGGTTAATTTGGTTTGACATCAGCCGTAAAGAAAAGTGTTTTCTTCTGAAGAGTTGAGGTTTACCATTGCAGTTTCACTTCGGTTACACTATATAACTGTATATTTACAATTACAATATTCTTAATGGTACAATAATCTAAGGACTTTATATAAGTTATAAGAATGTTATTGTTTATTTAACAGTATAATCAGAATCTGCAGTGTGTTTCATCATGTAAATATCATGTGTTTAGCGTCGCCTTCAGATCTGGCTTCTGTTGCTGGCGGTCTGGGTTCGGTTCTGCTGGTTCTGACTCTGTGTTCTGGAACCTTCATCATCCTGAAGAAGAGGAAGAGGAAATATGGGACAGGTAACAGTTTGTTTGAGATTATAAAGTCATTTTTTAGTGTTTGAATTGATTTGACTCGTTCTTTTTTTCTCTATTCATGCTCCATTCAGCTTTATTTCAGCAAAACATGCAGCACAATACAGAGGTGTGTGTTCAAATCTTTACCTGTAGAAGATCAGAAATACATGTTAAATGATTGTTTATTGATCAAGAAAGAGAATTATCTGTGAAAAATAGTAAATTATTGATGTATGTGTTATTTTTCAGACTGGCCGCATATATGAAGAGATTCCAAACAGTGATGTCACCACGGTAACGTCTTCATCCAATCAGACGCCTGCATCTTCATCCAATCAGACGCCTGCATCACACCTCAACAACTGCACAAATGTCTCTATTATTTACGCCACAGTAACCAATCAGCAGCCTGATTCAAACCCCAGTCACACCCACTCGACCAATCAGGCGACAGATACAGCCGATGACTATTATGGCAATATAAAGTGTCCTGAAGCAACACAGGACAGCGGGACAGAACTGATCTACGTAACAGCAACACATCCTCAAAACATCACAACGCATCCGCAGAACGTCACAACACACGAGGGTCCGATATATTCAGTGATCAACCGTAAATGAAAATGTCTGTCCAAAAACATTTAGACTGATGATCCAAGAGAAAATAAAATCGTGTACAGTCTAAATTTCTTACACTGAATCTATACTTTTGACACACTTTTTTTATTATTACTATTATCAGTTTATAAAGTGTATAATATTACTTAACAAAAATGTTTCTAACAACTAAAAAAAAGAATGTAAATAAAATGTAAAAATGACTCAAAATTCAATATTCTTTGGTACACCTCATCTACAGTTCAATAAAGCTATTAAAATGTAAAATATAGCATCAAGCAGTGATTATGAGGAAATACACAAAAGAGGCAACATTAGTGTCTAAGAAAGCATGTCAGGGAGAATCAGAGTGTGACGTTCGGCAGCTGTAGTGCCCTCGAGAGCCTCTGGAGGGCACTCTCTCATTGTGTTATGTTTTCCCCATGGACTCATTATGTTTTATCATGTTCAGCTGTGTTTCATTATTGGTTATTGAGTTCCTGATTTAAGCCTGTGTTTCTCCTCTGTCCTTTGCGAAGTCTTGTTACACTGTAAGCGTGCATTTCTAAGCGTTATTCCCTGTTCTGTTTCTCCGTGTTTCCCTGGACTCTCGACCTTTGCCTGTATCCTGGACTGTTTGCAAACCTGTGCTGCCTGCCTCGAACTACGCCTGTTTACACCACGAGTTTCTGGATTGCCCCTTGTTTTAACTGTTTCTGATTGTATTTGTTGAAGTTGTAATAAAGTGCTGCACATGGATCCGACCGTCTCTGCCCGTACGTTACACAGAGCAACATCATGATGATTTTATGAGTTTAAGTGCAAAAGGCAGTATATCTTTGCCAGGATATTGAAGAAAAAACCTTCCTTTATATCTCCTCAGACTCATTCAGGACATGGTGCTGATCACACAGAACAAGTGTCTTAATAATATCCTATTGCGTTCATTAAATAAAGCATGTTATTACAAAACGGACATGGGGAAGTTGGGTATGTTTCAGCTTGATATTAAACTATTGAAGGTCAAAACTATCCTGACGTTACAGGCCAAAATATAAGTTTTCCATTATTCGCCAACCCTAGGTGGCGCTGTGCCGAAGCTCCTCACGTTCCCTCAGGGTACGATGGCTATAGAGGTGCAGGTTTGACATCAGTTTGTAGGCCAAATCTGGGAAGCAAGTTGCATTTTAGCACTTCCGGTTTCATCATCCCGAAGTCAATTGTTTTCTTGTTTAAATGGCTGAAATAAGGTCTGTGGTGAACACAAGCTCAAGACACTTGCACGAGTTAATCTATGACATAAAATACATCAGTATTTCCCCACTCATGATGTATTGAAGCTGTTACGTGTCTTGAAAAAGGCGGTTGGTAACAAGTGTCTAAATGTGACGACAGAATCAGTCGAGGAGATTAAACGTCATCAGCCGAACATGTAAACTCAGTGCGCTTTTACAGCATCGTTATGCTTATAATTGAGCTCTTATAAACTCAAACGTTCTGGGGAAATGTTTTCTAGATAAAAACCGAAAGAGTTTTCGGAGGTTTAGTGATGTTAAAGTTGAAGTCGTGTGACTTGTTTTTGCAATAATCCAGAATAAACAAGACAGCTGATCAACAGTCTGTGTTCATCGTTGTCTGATTCTCCTTTTCAAGCGACACATTCACAGTCACTGGTGTTTCTCTCTGTCAGCGACTCATCACACAGAAACTGAAACAACAACAGGAAATACTACAGTTCAACTCCATCAGACAAACACTAGTAAGAACACAAACTACACTACCCATAATGCAACTCTCTGTTCACATAGAATAAGCTCATTTTGGAGAAAGGAAATTGGTTTGAACATTTGTGGAGGCTCGTACTCGTGTGGTTAACATGCTTTAACATCGACCACAGACAGAAGCGTTTCCTTCTGAAGAGTTGAGGTTTACCATTGCAGTTTCATTTCAGTTACACAATATAATATAGACTATTACAATATTCTATTGTACTATAATACAAATGATTTAAATATCAATTACAAGAATATTAATAATCACTTAACGGTGTAATCAGAATCAGCATTGTATTGTTGTGTTGTTCAGATCTGGCTTCTGTTGCTGGCGGTCTGGGTTCGGTTCTGCTGGTTCTGACTCTGTGTTCTGGAACCTTCATCATCCTGAAGAAGAGGAAGAGGAAATCTGGGACAGGTAACAGTTTGTTTGTGATTATTATTGTTATTATTAATTTCTATTTTAGTGTGTAAATTGACTTTCTATTTTCATGCAGCTTTATTTCAGCCAAACATGCAGCGCAATACAGAGGTGTGTATTCAAATCTTTACCTGTAGAAGATAAAAAATACATGTTAAATGATTGTTTATTGATCAACAGAGAGTATTATTTATATTAACTAGTAGATTATTGATGTATGTGTTGTTTTTCAGACTGATCGCATATATGAAGAGATTCCAAACACAGTTGTCACCGTGGTAACGTCTTCATCCAATCAGACGCCTGCATCTTCATCCAATCAGACGCCTGCATCACACCACAACAACTGTACAGAAGTCTCTACTGTTTACGCCACAGTAACCAATCAGCAGCCTGATTCAAACCCCAGTCACACCCATTCGACCAATCAGGTGACAGAGACAGCCGGTGATTATTATGCCAGTATAAAGTGTCCTGAAGCAACACAGGACAGCGGGACAGAACTGATCTACGTAACAGCAACACATCCTCAAAACATCACAACGCATCCGCATAACGTCACAACACACGAGGGTCCGATATATTCAGTGAAACACTGATCACCATAATGGTAACCATTTTACATAAATTTTCTCCTTCAGTGATTCTGCTTGTTAACATCAGGTGTCTTCAATAATGCTCAATCATAACTCAATTAATATCTTAATTATCTCATTAACTTTAACACTGATTCAGTGTTACTTATCACACTCTGAGTGTGGAATCATATAAACACTGAGAGTGTTAATTTAACACTGGGGATTTTGCTGTGCACTTTGCCCTGATTGGTCAGATGGCCTAGTCTGTTGTGATTGGTCTACTCTGCTCTGATTGGTCAGATGACCCAGTCTGTTGTGATTGGTCTACTCTGCTCTGATTGGTCAGATGACCCAGTCTGTTGTGATTGGTCTACTCTGCTCTGATTGGTCAGATGACCCAGTATGTTGTGATTGGTCTATTCTGCTCTGATTGGTCAGATGACCCAGTCAGTTGCGATTGGTCTACTCTGCTCTGATTGGTCAGATGACCCAGTCTGTTGCGATTGGTCTACTCTGCCCTGATTGGTCAGATGGCCCAATCTGTTGTGATTGGTCTACTCTGCCCTGATTGGTCAGATGACCCAGTCTGTTGCTTTTGGTCTACTATGCCCTGATTGGTCAAATGACCCAGTCTGTTGTGATTGGTGACTCTGCATTACAAGATGTTTCAACTGTAATTCCTCATCATCAGCATTAACAAGTATATGTCCATCAACAAACTGATGTGTATATTTCTAATGTATTGTATAAATATACGCAGTTGTAGGTTATAGTGGCCCACAGCTGATTAGCAGAAGTATTTCAGTAAAACAGAAATAACATGCCAATAATTTAGTCAGTTAGCTGGAGACCAACACAATATAAAACACAAAACATATACATAAATAATTATCCATACCTACAGGTTGTGATTCTGAGGAGGAAGTTGGTCCAAATAAACTGGACACTGACCCATCTTTCAAGAGCTAGTGTTTTATGAATCTCATTTAGACCTCACAGACATTTGAGAAGCACTCATCAAAAGGTTTTACTGCTGTTGTATCGCTGTGATCATTTTAACCACTGATTCTTCTCATCCTCATTCTTTGGAAGTGTTTACAAAGAGAATTTGCTTTTGCTGAACAGAAAACAGCATCTTTTCGACATGTACACAACAACACGAACCAGCTCCAGTGTTTGTGGACGGATTCAAGTAGACGTTGTTCATTATGCAAATGTGTTACTGCGTTACGGGTCACAGAAGTGAGACTGGAATTACTGACGACTCGTTTAGATCCTTCAGAGTCGATTCTTGCTTTTGGGAGACAGTAACTTTATTTATCGTGCACTTTCGACTTCAGAACTTTGCAGACCTTTTGCATTCACAGACAGCTCTATTACACACTGCATGAGAGGAATATTCGAACAAGCATAATATAGGCACTTTAACTAACTAACTAACTAACTAACTAACTAACTAACTAACGTTTGTTTCCTGTGACTGTAGATCAAAGACACTGGACGTCACTGTAATCCAGAGGACAAGGACACATAAACTACAGTGGTTTACAGCTGTGTTTCCTCAACCAACACCACTTCATTTCAACTAATAAGTTTATAATATAATATACATTAATAAGCATATTAAGAACCACAAGAAATCTTCATCCTTCTCATAATTTTCATTGTTGTACTGAAATTGGGTCCTCCTCAATCACCAATCTCGTTTTGTCTTTTCTATTCATAATTCAGAAAGACCAGATTAATTATGACTTGATTATTTGGTCTTTTTAAATGTAATTATCAGTCCTGTAACACTGTTATATTTCATCCTGATATGTTTACAGCTGACATACAGAAATATGGATCATAGAAATATGGTAAATTTATTCCATTTTTAAAGCTGAATCTTCATGTGATGTTTGTATTCTTTAGTGTAATGGACACATTAAACCATGTTATTCTGAATTGCAAGTAAGGATATATTTTGTTTCAATGTTATTATTTTGTATGTCTGTAGTTATTAATGTGTATATGGATGTTCAGTTCAGATTTGCCTGGTTAGTTTCATCTGTTCACTCCTGCTGGTTGATGTTGTAACTACAATAATCTGCTGCCAAAGAGCATACTGTCCATTCATGACCATCAAAACTAGCTGCATATTCTCATAAATAATTGTATAAATGCCACATATTTTTGGAGGATCTTAAAAACAACTGCTATTGAGATTTAACTAGAGAGCTTTAACTAAAGAATAGCTTCATCATTATAATACTAGGAGGCCTTGAGTTAAACGTGTGATGTTTGTGGCATTACTGGGCGAACAGGAAGTGAAACTACAGCCACAGGAAGAGCTTTGAGGCTTCAGCT